TATATATATATATATATATATATATTTGATGAGTAGTATTTTTAAAAATTTTAATTGACTACAAGGCTACAAAGATTTATATTTAATTAATAGTATTAATGAAGAAAGTAGAATAAAAATTATTAAATATATTCAAATGATCTTTTAAATCTTGTTACAATCATTAACATCTTATGACTACATGATTAAGATTGTCAAAATGACTCTTTGTTCGTGAACGGCTCGCGAGCCGAACACGAACAAACTTTTTGAGCTCGAAATATAAATGAATCGAACAGCAGCTAAACCTGGGCTAGCTCGTGTTCGGCTCTTTTACACACTTAAAAAAGCATACATAAATAATTGTATCATATTATTAAAAATTAATGGAGTTTTGATTAATTTCTAATATTAGAAATTTTGATTATAAATTAATGAAAAATCTCTGCATTTCAGTAATATCAGAATGCCAAACAGTAGCCGTTTCTTAAAAGAGAACTGAGGGGTCAGAAGTTTAAAAGTTCCGTTAAGAAAATAGAAAGTATGCGAGATTCCCAGCTCACTTTCTTCTTCTAAAACCCAAAGCCATATGCAACAAAGGACAAGTCAGAGCAGAACCCGTGATCCGCACAGCGCTCGGAAGGATTTCCCCTACAAAACCCACAGCAGGAAAAGATACCCTTTTTATTTGTTCTAAGGCGAAGCAATGGCGCCTTTCTCTATGCCATGGTTTCGTCTCGTTCAAAACCTTCATATTCTGCTCTTCCTCCTCTTTTATTCGGTTCGCTTCTCTCATGCCGATGCAGTGATCTTAAAATCGAGTTTATCAGGTGCTTCCCCTTTTACTTAGTTGTTCAGGAGCTATTATTTTGCAGAACGCTCGAAAAATGTGAACTTTTTGGTTTGTTCATCGAATGGTTTTGTATTTGAACGGAAAAAAAAAATGATATCTTTGTTTCGCAGTACTTCTTACGTTTTTAGCATGAAAACAGAGTTGTTTCAAACCATTCTGATATGCGGACGTCTAAAGTTCATTATTTGCGTATAGGATTTGAGCTATTCGCTTAAAATCTTAAATAAAGTTATTGTTTAGTGTGTATGTATGTAAATATTTTCAACTAATAACTCCGTTCTCTCTCTCTCTCTCTCTCATTTTAATATAATTACTCTTATGATTTAGAATAAGGAGATTGTTTATTGAATTTAATGCTGTTTTTGATGTGTTTTGATCTTCTATGTCTCTCAATGGCGATGAGTATGAATGCATTATTATTGTTTTTTTGAATGATATTCTGCTAATCACTTATACATAAGAAAATTTAATGTACTGCAATTCAATTAGAGATATAGAGAGACACATAACAACATATTATAACCTCATTTAACTGTCTCTCATTGTCACATATAAAGATTTTTTAAGCTATAATTTGGCACTGAAGCCTTGCTCTTTTTTCTTACTGCAAAACTGGAAGGTACTCTCTTGAACTAAATTTAGTAAGACATTTCTTCTAAGCCAAACATAGTTTTTCTTCCAAAAGACAGTTCTAGAAAGTAGCTGTCTTGATCATTGTCTTGCATATGGGTATACGATTCTTACATTATAGTTCGAGAAGCAGTGTTTATATCATTGGTTATAATCAAATCGGCGGGACATCTTGAGCAAAAAAACATTCTTTTTCTTATGGTGATTTTTTATGCTCTTTTAAAGCAAAAATTGATTTTTTTTTGTTATTTAAACTCAGTTTAATTTTTCAGTGGTATTAGAAAGGCAGGCTGATAATCATGGAATTCTTCCATGGAGTTTCATAGCTGAGGAGGATTCAATACTTCACCCAACTAATAGCCTTTCAATGGACAATACCTCTTTTAAATTAGCTTTGGACAGAACAAAGAGGAAAGACCCCACTAAATTGTACACCTACTATACAGGTGGTTGGAATATAAGTGATGAGCATTACTGGGCTGTAAGATTCTTTGCCCCGTTGATATTTTCTCTCTTATAACGGTCATATTTCTCCCATTAATTCTTTTGAATCTTCTGCCAGTCTGCGGCTTCTAGTGCAATTCCACTATTTGCATTTGCCCTTGCATGGTTCATTGGCTTTGGAGTAGCCTTACTATTCATCTGCTGCTGCTCTTGCTGCTGTAGACAGAGAAGATACTCATATTCTCGCCATTTCTTTGCTCTCTCTCTCCTTTTGCTTATTGTATTCACATGCACAGCAATGTAAATTTCATTTCTGTCTTTTTTCATTAAAGATTTTCCTTGATATGCTTTAGTTGGCTGACATATTTTATATTGATATTTTTTCTTGTAAATTATATGCAGTATTGGAGGCATTGTATTGTATAATATTCAAGGGAAGTTCCACAATAGTACTATAAATATGTTGGATTATGTTAAGGTCCAGTCAAATTTTATAGTGAACAACCTTCAGAATTTCTCAAGAAATATGGGTGGCGCTAAGAGCATTAATGTGAACCAGGTTTTCCTTTCTGCTGATCTTCAGACTAAAATTGGTGATACAGTGAAACTAGCTACCATATCAGCAGATGAGCTTTCTTCCCGGTCATCGACGAATTTGAGGAACATTGATGACTTTCTGAAATCTGTGTAAGGAAACTTACCCTCATTGTAATCTTCAAATATATCCATCTTTAAATTGGTGCTAAATCAGCTATTTATGTGGAGGGCTAATTCGCATCTTTTTAAAATCAGGAATTTAATGCTAAACTTATCTTATGATGTATTTGATTCATCTTTTTTTTGTATACTCAGGTATATGTCACTTTATGCTGATATAAAATTCTTCATTAACATATTAGATTTCCTTTGGAATAAGATAAGGACAAATTATTTTATGTTTGGTGAGATATCTTATTAAGTACTTTATTTCATTATATATGAAGACAAGGTATCAGCTATGGAATATGAAGCTTTGGATGTTAATTTTATTTCCAATTGTTAAAATAATTAAATGTCTTCCATTTAAATGACTTCCATGGTTGCAAGCCTTCAACTCTGTTTAGTTTTTGTATTTTTATTTTATTTTATTTTATTTTATTGTTTTTGCAGGAGAATAGACTTGGTCATAGGATCAGCTGTCATGCTTCTTTTGGTATTTCTTGGATTTTGTAAGCATGCTAATCTGATAAGTACTGATTTTGCTGCTTCTTATTTTTTTTGAAATTAATTGTCTTAAATGTTCTTCACTTTTGGCAGTATTTTCCATTCTAGGAATGCAATTCCTTGTGTACTGGTAAGATTAAAGAGTTATCCAAACTAGCTTGTATTCTTTCTAGTGCATTTCATAAAGGGTGAAGATATCTTGTTCAAAGATTTTTCAAGATGAATATTAAAGATATTGTAACCTGTATATATAATCAATCAATTTATGTGTTCTACTCATCTCAAAACAGATCTAAGGGCTTTAAAATTTGTCCTAACAACGTTTTGATTTTGATTTTGCAGTTTGGTTCTAATTGGATGGATTGTCATTGCCGGTGCGTTCATATTGTGTGGTGTTGTTCTTCTTTTACACAAGTAAGGAAGCTTTTATGTTTGTCATGAAGAAACCATGGTTTTTAGTCAAATGATACAGATATAGTCCTTCACCTCTGTAAATGTTCCTATACTGTTTTAAATTATAATCTAGCAAAACTTGACAATCACAATTTACTCACAAGGTAATGAGTATTTCTAACTCAAAATTTTTATCCTCATCTGTAGAACCAGGTATATAAATTTGTGAAAAATTGCATTCATGTAACTTTCCTGTGATTTCAATGCAGATTATCATCTTCTATTTATACAAAAAAAGTGGGATAAACTATTGTTATTATAAAGTTATCGATAAAATGTTGAAACTTCTTTTCTGCAATTGTCTTAGTGGAGATAATATCATCATATATTGCTCTTTAATAATCACTCATAAAGGTGAAAAAGGGAAAAGAAGTTCAAATAATTGGTCCCTTTTCCCCTTACAAAAAGGAAAAAAAGAGGAAAAAAGGGACTTTGTTATGCTTCTTAGAGTGTTTGTTTAAGCTATTTACATCTTAAGTTGAGAAATCATGACTGTAAACATGCTTTATGTTCAAATGTATCATACAGGTTTTATTTTGATATCCATATTTTTAGGGTGAATCATAGGTTAAGTTGTTCTACTTGTCATTGCTAAGTTCTTTCCAACACATGCCCAATTTAAGGGATTAGGATTTATTGAAGTGTAGAATGTTAGAGATGAAATACCATAGCACATATCCTATTCTTCATAATTCACTAATTGTAGATGTTTTGGTAGCATGACAACAATGGGCATCAACGTCATATGTGATCTAATAGCAGAGGCTGTGCGCGCTGATAATCGCAAGCTCGCCGAACAGGAGCTCCTTGATATAGAGAAGGCCAGTCGCAAGCTCGTGGCTGTCCCCGTACCAAAGGTAACTTAGGCCGAATTACCTCGTCGTTGAGAGGAGGAGCGCCTTTGTCTTCAACGCAAGGCCGAGGTTGCTAAGAAATGCCAGAGTCGGATCTTAGACGAGGAAGATCTGTGCGGGGGAGGTGCGAGGAAGGCGCGGCCTTCTGTTTGAGTGTGGAGGAGGGAAACCGGGACGGTAACGAAGGGATCGACGCGACGACTTCATTAAACAGTAACTAACTGCTGAGAAGGGCGGCTTATTCATCGCAAAACTGTCGCGATTACAGCTAACAAGGGGATCGCGGTGTTGTGTGGACTCACGGGACGCAGTCGCGCTAACTGGGAAGGCCGCGAGAAGTCGATTCTGGTGAAGAGGAAGCTGATCGCGAAGGGTTAGCGTGGAGGTAAGGATTGCCGATGTGCAGAGTCAGACTGCACGATTGCATTCCTGTTTCGCACCACAGTTTTAGGAGAAGTTTTTACTTGCGAGACCCCACATACGACAGACTGCACGATTGCATTCCTGTTTCGCACCACAGCTTTAGGAGAAGTTTTTACTTGCGAGACCCCGCATACGAGTCCCCTTTTTTTTATTTTTATTTTTTTCTCATTTGTCAATCTTTGCTGCAGTCCGCATGACTTTTCTAGTTTTAGGGTCTATTTGGGGAAAAAGTATTGATGGAATCGCAAAATAATCGAGAGAATGATGCCAATGAGCTGAACTTCTTAGCTGCGGCCGAAAGCATTTGGCAGATGAACTTATTTATCTGTATTTACTTGTGCTATTAATGTAGTCATAATAATAGTATTGTTGCATAGAAATGAGACGCAAAGAACACAAGCAAACACAGATCGTTTACGTGGTTCGATCCAACTGGATCTACGTCCACGGGAGGGAATTAATCAAATAGTTCACTAAGGCAAAAAAAAAGGAGAATACATAGCTTATACATAGAGATGAGCCCTCATCTTCCTTCTATGGCCTCCCTCTCAAGCGACACCATGATACAAGACCTCAAGATGCTATACTCCTCTCTAGCTCTCTCGCTATTCTCTCCTCCTTCGTGGTAGCTGAAGACCACTTGCCTTTTCTCTCCTTTAGGTGGAAGGTAGGTGGGTGGTAGGTGAGCGATAGGGGAGATGTGGTAGGTGAGCGGTACCACATTACAAAAGTGCCCTTTTACTTTAGTTCATTAATTGGGGGTCAAAATAACAATTATCCACCTTGACCCTCAATTGAGAAGCTTCGAAGTAAAGATTCCCTCCACCTGGCCCCTGAGAGGCCCTCAACCTTTCGTGAAGTTTACTAAATCCAGACAGTGTCTGAACTTAGCTGTCCGTAACACCTTGGTGAGCATATCAGCAGGATTTTCTTCAGTAGGTATCTTCTCCGCTATTATTGAACCCTTGGTGATGACATCCCTCACAAAATAAAACTTTATATCTATATGCTTGGATCTTTCATGAAATACCTGATTTTTTGTTAGGTGAATGGTGTTTTGGTTGTCGTAAAACACAGTTATCACCTTCTGATGTATCCCGAGCTCCTCAGCCATACCCTTTAGCCACATAGCTTCCTTGATTGCTTCATTCACAACGATGTATTCAGCCTCTGTTGTTGAGAGCGCCACAACGGATTGGAGGTTAGACTTCCAACTGACTGTCGTACTGAAGACAGTGATAATGAATCCAGTCAGTGACTTCCTGGTGTCAATGCTTCCTGCATAATCGGAGACCACGTAACTAACTACCTTTTCTTCTTTGTCTTCCTCCCTTTTAAAGAGTATACCCAGGTCTGTAGTGCCTCTCAGGTACCTCAGGATCCATTTTAGTGCTTCCCAGTGAGCCTGTCTTGGGTTTGTCATGAACTTACTTACAATGCTGACGGCGTAGGCCAAATCTGGTCTGTTGCAGATCATCCCATACATGATGCTACCAACTCCGCTGGCATAAGGGACACCCTCCGTGTACCTTTTCTCATCTTCAGTCTCTGGTTCTTGAGAGTTTGATAATCTGAAGTGTTGATCAATAGGTGAATAGGTGTTGCAACCTGCTTAGCCTCATGCATGTTGAACCTTGCTAGAACCTTTTGAATATATGACTTCTGAGACAAGAATAAGGTGTCATTTTTCCTATCTCTAGTAATCTCCATCCCTAGTATCTTTGTAGCAGGTCCTAGGTCCTTCATGTCAAATTCAGAATTGAGCATACCTTTGATCTTCTGGATTTACTCCCTGCTTCTGCTGACTACTAACATATCATCCACATAAAGAAGCAAGTAGATACTTATTTCACCGTCTTGCCACTTCATGTACACGCAACTATCGTAGCTGCATCTGACAAATTCGATCTTTAGCATGAACTCATCAAATCGTTTGTACCATTGTCTGGGGCTTTGTTTCAGTCCATACATTTTATTAACATTTTCTTCTTCAGAAGTGCTAAGAAAACTCCTCAATAGAGATCATAATGATCAAGAGTGAAGGTGAAGATGATGCCAATATTGGGAATCTGTTAAAATTGTTGTTCTCTTTATATTTTTTTTGTTATTTCAAATGCTATTTATATTGTGGTGAAAATTTTTGTACAAGTAATGTGATGTATTAATTTACTATAGGGTATGTTATTTGATGTATTAACTCGGGTCATAAATATTCTCTAAACAAAAATGCTCCATCTCATTAGAGAAATTATTTCATTTGTATTTGGATTCTAGCTAATTCATCTGGATAGAGATAAATGAATCATAGGATGAGTAAACTTTGGATTTGTAGGCATTTAAGGTAGATTTTGGAAACTAACATATCAAGCTTTATCGTAGAATTAATAATTGTTTAATTTTTATGTTGAATATTCATGCAAATGTTATTTTCCCAAGAGCTAATTGGGTAAATTGGCCATTATATTGAATGCTATGGAGTTAAAATTTTTAGAACTATAGATACTAATCATGCCCCATAACAACCCTTCCTAGTGGAACAAAAGGTGCGACAAAGATGGTTACAACTCAACTAAGTGAATGAATGATGTAAGTTATATCACTTGTTTTACTATTAAATTAAATTTGACTTTGCTATGATTTTTTTTTAATTGCTCATCAATGGTGAGAACGTAGTTCGGAGAGCCACTAAAGTCATAGCCGATACTATCTTTGTTGACGCAAAGTACAGAATTTGGCAACTCAAATGATACAGGACTATTCTTTATGCATAATAATTTGATTGTTGCTTAACTCTTATTTTGTTTGGTGGGCTTAAGGCGTGTCACCATGTAGACATGGTAATGTGTTAACCCATGTGGTGACTTTGCTCGGAGAGAGAGCCTTCCAATATTCATTGAAGAACTTGATGACACATAAGTGCTTTTAGCATGTCTAGTGACTTGTTAGCCAATATCACTCTCAAGAGATTTCTTGTGATCCACTTTTTTCAGATTGTATAATGGATAATATCGTTGAAATTTGACTCGCGCGTTAAATTTGTGGAATTTGAGTCAATATCGATGTCGTATAATTAGATATATTTTTTCCTTGTATAGAGGTAAACTTTTTTTTAAAAGATCTTCTATAACAAATAATCTCATTGTTTCTTTGTTTCTTTTCAATACCCTCTAGCTTAATAATCAATTTTATGAAGTTAGTTATTAATACTTTCTAAATTATATGTACTTTACTATATAGAAGTACATATAGTAAAGAATACTTTCTAAATTATATGTACTTTACTATATAGATGGGGTCGCAAAATTACTTGTAGAAGGGATCCAAAAAGCAAAGACAAAAAAGGATCAATACCATATCAGCATTCCTCAAATCCTTAATAATGGAATTAAACTCATTGATATGTAATTTAATAATTTTGCTTTTCAAATGCTTAGCAAATACATTCTTCATTCTTATGAAGCTTATCAAAGAGGCCTTTTCCTATATTCAAAAGCTATGCTTGAACTACAACATTTCAATGATTATTTCTACTTAGACCTTTGTAAATATCTTATCCACAAATTATTGCTATGATGTTAGAGGGATTTTCATCCATCTGTTCCGTCTCTTATTCACTCCTAATTTCATACATATTTTAGCACCTTTTGAGACTTGTAGTTGGATTAACATACCTTGCATCCCAAAACTACTCAAACACTTGAACTTTTTGATCAAATATTTCATGTTCATCATATTCATCATATTCCCTGAAAACAAATATAAAAAATGCATATAGTAATATCAAAGGTATCAAGTACCACAATAAGGTAAGAAGATTTACATCCATGGTTTACCTATAGAAGATAAGAATTGGTCTACTACCTAAAAATCATGCAAGTGTACAAATAAATAGAGCACAAAAAAAACACCCTTTCCTAACTTCAAGTGAACTTGATCTCACCATAAAGAAGACATCCTTGTAAGCAGATAGGAAAACCTCCTAATATATTGTAGAATTACAAAAATTATATAAGAGAGAATAAATTAAGAAGATGCATATCAATTCAAAAAATCTCTTCTCAGATTCTCTTTGGATTAGACACCATATTAGTGTTTTCTCTCTCTCTTTTTTATCGTTAAGGACGTGGAAATTTAAACCTAAACTGGGTTCAAGATTAATTTGGTGCTACTTTCTAGTTAAATTTATGCTTATCAAAACATAAGACTAAATCATTAATGCCTAATCACTATTTGTATAATCTAATTAAAATAAATCAATTTATTGATATTCTTAAATTTTGACAAGAATTTAATGATATCAATGAGCACTATTTTAAAATTATAGTACCAAGTAAAATTGTTTTTCAGATTTGTATTTATATGAAATTACTATAATCATATCAGAAAGTTGTTCTCTAATTTTATCATTTTATTTTGCTCAGTGTGGTGGGTGACACTTGCGTTGCAATGGATGAATGGATTCTCAAACCTCAAGAAGCAACAGCCCTTGATGATATTCTTCCCTGCATTAATGCGGCAACTGCAAAAGAATCTCTCATGAGGAGCAAGGAAGTCACTTTTGAGCTGGTCAAAGTTGTGAATGATGTCATAACCAATGTCCCCAATGAAAATTTCCGTTCTCCCGTTGTGCCTTCTCGTTCCAACTCCAACCTAACCGGTCCTTTGATGCCAACTCTCTGCAATCCTTTTGAGTCAGATTTGAGAGACCGCAAGTGCAAATTTGGTGAAGTTAGCTTTGAAGATGCACCTCAAGTAAGTTCTAAGGCTTTATATAAGTATATTTATAAAGTTTTTTGCAAAATTAGTTGGTGAAGTTAGCTTTGAAGATAGTGTTTTATTAAAATATTAAAATAATAATGACTATTCCTAGCGGTTATTAATATGCAGATTTTCTTTTATTTGTTGTTATTTCCCTTTTTTTTTCTTTCCTATTTTCCTTCATTATGTTTTTATTTCTTTCCTTATGAGTGCCCCCTTATAATTGGGTTTATATACATCTCTTTCCATCAATAATACATGGTGCTCTACTCCAATATTTCAAGATGGTATCAGAGTCGGGATCTAACCCTAGATCCCAGCCATCGTCGGCCTTCCTTGCAGCAGCCACCGCCAGCCTTCCTTGTAGGGGAATGCCTAGCCACCAGCTCTTCCAGCTGAAGTCTCCAGTCGCCTGCCCTCCCTTGCTGTCCCCTACAGCTGCCGGCCTGCTTAGCAACCGCTGGCCTTCCCCCTGTAGGGGTAGATTCTCCCGCTAGCCATCCCTGCAGGTCTTTCCTGCTATTTTTCTTCAATGGCTAGTCTCTTCTGTAGTTATGCGGATTACCTATTTTCTTTCCGACAGCCGGTGAGCTACAAGTTGAAATCTGGCAATGTATCAAAATCCTAACCAAATTTCTTTTGGCCCAGTCAAAATCATGGCAGACTCCTCCAAGTTAAGCCATCCTCAGAAAGTGTTCTTGATTCCACCGGAGGTTCGACTCCAACCTCTGTTTCCATGCAGATCGGAGGACCGAAAACCAATATGAACTTTTTGATCACAACTCACAAACTGAACGGCATTTACTTTCTCCAATGATCTCAAGTGGTGACTTTATTCATCAAAGAACGCGAGAAATTTGGTCACCTCATAGGCATGATCTGTGAACCTCCAAAGACTGACCCGACATATGAAGCTTCAGAAATGGAGAACTCCATGGTCATGTCGTGGCTGATCAACTCTAGGAAACCGTCGATTGGTTGTTCAGATATATTTCTTCTGCTATTGCCCTCTCAACGCAATCTGTGATACTTACTCGGATCTCGGAAACTCCGACCAACTCTATGAGGTGTCTAAGAAGATCTGAGAGGCAAAATATGGATGAAGGATCGTAACCTAGTATTGCAATGACCTGGTGGCACTATGTATGGAATGCGGCCTGTGCACTACGTATGTAAGTAAATTTCTTTTGGCTTTGTCAAAATCATGGCGAACTCCTCCAAGTTAAGCCATCCTCAAAAAGTGCTCTTAATTCCACCGAAGGTTCGACTCCAACTTCTGTTTCCGTGCAGATCGGAGGACCGAAACCAACATGAATTTTTTTATCACAACTCACAAATTGAACGACATTTACTTTCTCCAATGATCTCAAGCGGTGTCTTTATTCATCAAATGACGCGAGAAATTTGGTCACCTCATAGGCATGATCCGTGAACCTCCAAAACTGACCCGACATACCAAAGACTGACCCGACATATGAAGCTTGAGAAATGGAGAACTCCATGGTCATGTCGTGGCTGATCAACTCTACGAAACCGTCGATTGGTTGTTCATATATGTTCCTTCTGCTATTGCCCTCTGGACGACAATTCGTGATACTTACTCAGATGTCGGAAACTCCGACCAACTTTATGAGGTGTCTAAGAAGATCCGAGAGGCAAAATATGGATCAAGGATCGTAATCTAGTACTACAATGACTTGGTGGCACTATGTATGGAATGCGGTCTGTACTACGACTGCACTTGAGACTCTCCGGCCAACCTTTCTCTCTTTTAGAAAATTATAGAAAATGATTGCATGTTCCAATTCCTGACAGGCCTCAACAATGATCTTGATGAAGTTCAGCATCATTTTCTTGACTGAAACATAGATGTCAATTATGATCAACTGGGACCTGAAATCATCAGACAATGGACGAAGATATTACATTGTGGTGTAGAACTTGAAGTCTTCATCCCCAAGAGCATTTAAAATGCGGTTGTCTTTGATTGCAGTTTTTGTATGTAGGCGAAGATTGCTACAGGTAATGTTATAGGGAAGCTTGTAGGGAAGTAGACAATCTACAGAGAAATCTGTTGGGAAGACTCTGCTGCAGGAAAAAGCTCCTGAGGAGGGCTTGATGCAAGAAAAGGCTCCGGAGTAGGGCCCGCTACAGGAAAAGGACTCTTGAGGAGGCCCTGCTCTAGAAAAAAAAGATTACGATGACTAAAGAAAACAAAGGAAGGCGTCAATAATGACATTTTCTTGAGAAAATATAAAGGAAAATAAATAAATCATCATCCCTGAATGAAGATCCTTGATGGATATGAGAGATCGACGGGTCAAAGGAGAACTAACTAGAACCAAACATCTTATTCCACTTGACTCTCAATAGAGTCCGTCGAGTCAGGAATGGTTCGAGTAGGAGCCGATTTAATTGTTGTGGATTTTGAGACCGTAGCAAGACCTTTAGCAATAGAAGATTTGGTCCAAGACTTATTTATCAGTTTCCCGTGGAGTTTGTCGTGTTAAGGTCCTCCAATCTGTGGAGGAATCAAGGTAGATGTTGAACTTCTAGTGGAATTAAGAACAATGTCGAATGGAAGCTCGAAGGTGGAGGAATTAGCCATAGCTCCAACGAAGCCAAAGAAGAGGATCAGACGTTGGGGCATGGAAGGAGCCGATCTTTGAGTCTGGTAAGGAGAGACACTGATCCAACAAGTAAGTTGAATATTTTTCAACATAATAATAACCCTCTTCACATGGATGGCACAAAGATTTGTGTCTTCAAAGAGCTCGATAAGGTAAGTCTCCACAGCCTCCTGAAGCGCAGCAACTGAAACTTTGGAATCAGCGACTTGTCTTGAATTCCTGCCTAGTGTCGTGTAGCAGATGTTGGAATGGAAGCTTACGGATGAGGAGCTCCGTGCTCTTCTATGATGTCCCGATCTCTCTCAACACAATCATTACAAGATGGAAACGATGGGGTTTCTTTGCATCACTGGTCGTAGGAGCTGACTTGCTGGCCGCTTGGTTGTCAGCTGCTTCCTTGTGGCATTTGTCGTCGGTGGACTTGCAAGCGGTTTGTTTTGTTCTCGCCATCTAGGTGGTTTCGGCTTAGGCTCAACAAGCCATGGGGAAGAGGTTCTCACAGGAGAAAAAAGAAATTGCTTGTTGCTTGTGAATTGCAGAGAAGGAACTCTCTCAGAAGTATTGCAATAGGAAGTTCTTACGAGAGAAAGGGTCTGCACGAGGAAGACCTACTGCAGAAGGAAGAAATCATGGTGGCAACTGACTGCATAGAAAGGACTGTAGTGAGAACTCCAGCCGGAGGAGGGCCTGCAGTAGTAAATTCTGGCTGCAGGGAGGAGTTTTGTCGGCTAGAGGATTGCAGGAAGAGGAGTTATAACTATTAGGAACCTGCAGGGAGAGTTCCGACAATTAAGGACCTGCAGGGAGAGAGTTATGACGGCTAGAGGATTGCAGGAAGAAGAGTTCTAATTGTTAGGAACCTGCAGAGAGAGTTCCGACTGTTAGGGACATGCAGGGAGAGAGTTATGACGGCTAGTTCTTGGAGGAAAGAGTTCTAATGCCTCAGGGGCTAAGGACCTACAGGGAAGAGTTATGGCATCTAGTTCCTACAGGATGGAGTTATGAGGGCTAGGACCTACAGGGAGAGGAGTTCTTTTGGCTAGAGTCTGCAAGGAGAAAGATTGTCATCTACAGGGAATAAGAACTTTCTGGCGGCAGAAGATCTTGTCCTCTGCTAGAGGCTCTACAGTTTTGTTTCAAGGTTCTAATACCATGTAGGTTTAAGAATTTAATACAATACTTTATTAATATGAAAGAGAGTATAAATGCAACTTACATGAATCCTAAAATAAGAAAGACATAATGTCTATATCTCTAAGATTACATTTAATCAATTCCTTAATAACTACCCGCAGATAAAAGAAAAGACTTAAAATAGGTAAAACATAAAACCTATATCTACCAAATTACAGGTAATTAATTCCTAATAACAATCCAGAGATAAATGTTAATTAATTTCTTAATAACTACTCATAGATAAAAGGAAAGACATAAATAGGAAAAACTGAATACTTATATCACCAAGATTACAATTAATCAATTTTTAATAACAACCATGAGATAAATGAAAAGACATAAAATAGGAAAACATAACAGCTATATCTCCAAGATTACAATTAATCAATTTATAATAATTATCCGGAAATAAAAAGAAACACATAAAATAGGAAATAGCAAGAAAAGAAATAAATCAATTTCTAATAATTTCTCGCAAGACATAAACAACCATGTACACTATTTTCTATCTTTAGCAGAAAAGACCTCACAAAAATGAGGTCAACACATGCCTCATCACTTTTTAGATTTAGCTAGAAAAGGTTATCTCTATCATTACAATAGTCTAATCTTTTCAAAAATGTCCAAAAACATTTTAAAAAGTATTTTTAAAATTAGAAAATCCATAAAAAGTATAATAATGCCAAACTTTAAATAAATACAAATTTTAATTATATAATGTTTCTTGACTTAAGATTGATCATTATTTAAGTCTTGATAAATTCTACTAAAATAGTTGTTTTTTCTAACATATTTTGTCCATGATGAAAACTGATAATCTTAACCTTAACCTTAACATGCATTCTATGTAAGACATAAACACTAGTTAAAGCACTTCTAAATAAATACAAATTTTAATTATATAATGTTTCTTAACTTAAGATTGATCATTATTTAGGCCTTGATAAATTCTACTAAAATAGTTGCATGTAACATATTTTGTCCATGATGAAAACCGATAATCTTAACCTTAACATGCATTCTAAGTAAGACATAAACACTAGTTAAAGCACTTCTAGGTTTATTGTCAATTTTAATGTATTTTTTTAGTACAAAAAGAATATTCTTGTAGAATATCAACTCACTTAGCCTATGTATGTCCTCCTAACTTCTTTGATGGATTGAACATATCATGTAGAATATCAACTCACTTAGCCTATGTATGTCCTAACTTCTTTGAAGAATTGAATACATCGCAAACTCCTTAAGCAACAAGTAATGCTTCTAATAAGAAAGATCTTATATCGTGGAAATGAACTTCTTTTCATAGTTTGAAATTTTTTGTCTTAGTCTTATTCAACTTTTTTATTAAAGAGCAACAAGTAATGCTTCTAATAAGAAAGATCTTATATTGTGGAAATGAACTTGTTTTCATAGTTTGAAATTTTTTGTCTTAGTCTCATTCAACTTTTTTATTAAAGATTGCAATATGGCTCCCTTTTTGATGCAACACTCCTCCAACACATACTCTAGGCACACATCACAAAAAAGGTTGCTTAACTAAAATTAAATTGTTAGGTATTTCATTAATTTCAATTAAAGCATAGTTTTCTGTTTAGCCGGGGGCAGATCAATAAATTTGCGTATAACAATAAATAGAAAATAAGCCTTCCAATGAAAGTTCACATAATATGGTTTATTATTTGTATTTAAGCACTATGCACTTTGGTTAATTCAAAAGGTATCACAAATCATTAATATAATTCATATTAATATTATTAAAAATATTTTTTCAATCATCTCCTCCCAAATTAAAATATGATGGAATTTGTGCCTTGAATCATTTCTGCAAAGTATCACAACATCTTACATTATATCTAAGATGACATCTAACTGTGATATGAAAATATATGCTTTTGGTTGTATGTATGATATGGGCTGCGACCCGCATGCATGATGAATCTAGTTTTTAACTCTCAATTTTTAGTAAATGTGCTAATTTTTTAATTAATGGCCAATCAATTAGAAGTAATGAAGCATAGATTAAAAAGTATACTTGAATAGTAATGCAGAGTAAAAATAACTAACACATAAATTGGTTATACATCTAATTCCCGGTCTATAGATTTAGTTCATGTTATTTTGAAAACAACAACAGAGTATATAATTCTAAGCAAATACATAAAAAAGTATAAAATTTTGATTTTGTATGCTCTCACTTTGCTCTAGCTAAGCTCTGGCTGCCTCCATGTTTTGCCACAAGCTCCTCTGTCTTGTCTCCTAAAAATGTCAGAAGAAGTCTTATAAAATGCCCAAATTTGGCTCCTTTAAACTCCTCATGAATTCTGCTCAAATTTGAGTTTTTTTATTTTTTTGGTTTCTAGACACCTTTCGGTGATGCCTGCCTAAATGCCCGAACAATTCTCGGAAATTGGGGGATGAATTTTGAGAGACAGAGTGAGAGAGAAGGAGAATGCGTGTATGGGTGCACACACGAGAGACCAAATTTTTTAAAGATACTAGTTTTTGCTTGCACACATCTTTCTACATATCTGAAGAATTAAGATTTAAAGCATATTTTCTTAATTCCCTATATCATCTAAATATATTAAAGAAAATAAATTGTTTTAAATGATGAAAAAACAGAAGAAATGAAATCCTTGTGGTTTCTATTGAACTTGGATCAACTTTAATGAAATAGGCATATAGCTCAAATCAAGATTGGATTAAGCCAACCTATTGACTCTTCTCAACATCAAATCAATATCTTTTTGCCGATCTTGAGCTAGCATCAGAATAGCTCCAGATTGTATCCCTCAAAACAATAATTTGCAATCCATACACTCCTGTTTCCAAAAATTGGCCTTTGCTACCTCATGATTCATGCAAAAAAGAAACTTCATCCTTGATTCCATGCACTGAGTAACACTGCAATTGAAACAGTACAAACTGAAATCATAATGATGCCAATGTTTTCATAAACTAAATCAAAGTGAGTACATGAGAACAGCATAAGTGATTCCTGATTGCAGGTGTGGAAAACATACTTATGCAAAACCAATGTCATCTCTGGCAAGGAGGTATGCATCACTCCAAGCATCTATAGCCAGCTGATAGTGGCCACCACCATGAGCCAGAGCTTATACCTGTTTAGTCCTTTCCTCATAATGGTGGCAAATTGCAGCTTTGGAAAAGAGACCTTCAGTTTGATAGAAACTGACTACTGTCCTGGATTTGTGAGGTATAGCAAGGGGATGTACCGTTGCCTCACTCTCTTCTCTGCTGCCATGATTCTCTGCCTCATCTTCTGGATGGTCCATGTTAGAGAAAGGAGGCGCCTTCAGTATGCGAAGCAGTTCATTGTTATGGAAGGCCAACCAGGACTGGTTGAGGAGAATAAATTGTAGGAGAGAAATGTAATTTGAGTTTCACATTGTTTGATGAAGATTTATTGTATGTAAGAAATACTTCAAAACTTGTGGTTATAAACAGCTTTAGTTAAGTGTTTGGTTTACCAAAATCCCATCTGTGTTGATTCATGTGAAGTGGGAATTTTTGCCAACAATATTGTGGGGTTTGGAACATTATGTGGTGAACAGTTAATCCTGATTGCATGAAATCATGAGTTGATTTAATATGGAGATTGAATTTATCACCAGGCTGCTAGGAAAACTATACCAAATGATTGGGTTGGTTTGATGGTGAAATTAATCATAATAGCATTTTTTTTATAAATAGTGTTGAAAACTACTGGAATTAACGTTTCAGGACAAAAATAGCTGGAATGTTTGGAGCCAGCTTTACAATAATGTTTAAGTGGTATTCTTCTTCTTATTATTATTTGTTATATTTTTTAACAGTAATGTTAAATTGGTAAGGAAAATATAACAACTCAAATGTCAGGGAATTGCAAATGTTAGGGAAGTATGCAAATGTTAGGTAGAATCAAGTGAGGCTTTTTACATTAACCTATGGGTATAGGTGGATATACCTTTTAGGGAAATGCAAATGTTAGGGAAATATGCTTTGATGGGTTAGCTTTGAGATTTATGGAAATAAAGTCATTTCTAACCAAGCTTTTTTATGCTACCGGGAGGAGGTAAAGAAGGTTATTACTTCTATTTCTCAATAAATTTTTCTACTTGTAGTTTTCAATTTCATGAAATCTCTTAACTCATTACAGGGAACAACCACTAAGTATTTGACATTTTTAATATAATTGTGATAATTTAGAATTACTTTTGTAGGATTTAAACTTTTTATTTGCTTGTGATACTTTAGGATTACTTTCTAGGACTATAACAAAACCTAAATTTCAGGCTAGGACTAAAATTAGTAGGCTAGAACTTTTTTAACAAGAATTACCTCGCTCCCTGTGGGATCGATATTCTGGACTCTCAAACCCGATATTATTGATAGTGTTGTATCTTTATGTGTAGATAAATTAGCTAGTACTTCTTAATGTTTCTATATATTTTTATGGATGAAATTGCACTTAATAAAAAGGTATTTTTGTGTTTATCTTGTAGGTACAATAAGAAATTGAAGTGGGTAAACCAGGAGAAGAAATAGAGCTTAAAGGTGCAAAGTGGCACTGGCGTCTAGGTGTCGGACCCTTTGGGCGCCTAGGCACCAGCCCGAGAGGTTGGTGCTTAGGCACCAAACATGGGGCGCCTAGGCACCAAACATGGGGCGCCTAGGCACCGCGACATGAACTCCTAGGCGCCGGACCACTTGGGCGCTTAGGCGTTCGTTCACTCTTCAGCAGACAAAGAGTTTGGTGCATATGCGCTAAGGCGCCAGAAACTGCCAAGTGCAGTTATTGCAGTTCGGACTTTAGGCGTGTGGATTGTGTGGAGGATCGTGCAGGACTGCAAAGGAGTTGTGGAAGCCAAGTTAAAGAGACTATAAGTAGCAATAGATTATAGACTTATGGGGGATTGATGCTTGTTGGTTAGTGGGTTTTGCTTGCTGTGGAGATCCCTTCTTCTGCTAGTGCAGAGGAGCAACAACCTAGGAATTCTTCTTCTGGTCGTTGTAGAGGAGGTAAAGCTAAGTCTTTTTGTGTACTTTTTGTTGTCTTTCAGTTGTAACAAATGGATAGGGAATTTTTCTTTGTTTCAATAAATTTATTTGGTGTTTTTATCATGCTTCTTGAGTAGACCTTTTACTCTTGTTTGTGATGATTAAGTATGATGGATGGAATGAGAATTGCATTATATTTTAATTAATTTATATAGTGATGATAAACCTTCAAGGCTTAATTTGCTTTTCATTATGGCCTAGTAAATTGTTAAAATATGTTGTGAATCATAAGTCTTAAGAAAGTTTATGATAGAATCAACTAGGTTTTTCACATTAACCTTTGAGGTATAGGTGGATATGCTTTGTAGGGAGATGCAAATGTTAGAGAATTATACTTTGATGGGTTAACTTTGGGATTTATGGAAATAAAGTCTCTTCTAACCAAGCTTCTTTATGCTACCAGGAGGGGGGGCAAAGAAGATTTTTGCTCATATTTATCACTAAACTTTTCTACTTGCAATTCTCAATTTCGTAAAATCCTTTTAACTCGTTATGAGGAAGAGCCACCAAGTATTTGACACTTTCAATATAATTGTGATAATTTATGATTACTTTTGTAGGACTTAAACTTTTTATTTGCTTGTGATATTTTAGGATTTCTTTGGATGAATATAACAAAACCCAAATTTCAGGCTAGCACTAAAACCAGTAGGCTAGAACTTTTTTTAACAAGAATTACCTCGTTTCATTTGGGATCGACATTCTAGACTCTAAAATCCGATATTAATGATACGACACATGTACTTATGTAAGCCCCCTATGTTATAGCACCTGAGATTGGTATCAGTCTTCCGATAAAAAGTGCTTGTTTTCCCACCATATCTTGTTTCTTTTGAACCGAGGAAGAAATTTGAGACGTGGAGGGGGATGGGTGCTTGTGGTGAGGGCTCGCTAGTCGGCCTTCTCCATCTTCTCCCACTCTCCCATGTTTTCTTTCTTGACTCTGAGGAAGACCCGAAAAGTGGGCCAAATGGAGGTGGAGAGCCGAGGACATTCTAGTTGAGACAAGGCAAGACTTTCTTCCTCCCCCACTTTGTCCTTCTTTCCGTCATAGTGGGTGAAAAGCTAGAGTTCTTGGTGCCACTGGGCACCATAGTCAGCTTGATGGTTGTTGCCCCGTGGCACCTTAATCCTCCCCCACTTTGTCCTTCTTTCCGTCATAGTGGTTGAAAAGCTAGAGTTCTTGGTGCCGCTGGGCACCATAGTCAGCTTGATCGTTGTTGCCCCGTGGCACCTTAGCGAGTGTTTGGTCGTGAAGGGTTGTCGGGTAGCAACATCCCCTTCCTCTGTCGCTCCCTCAGCTTTAATTGTTCCTTGTAAAGAGCATGCGAGAGGAAGACGAGGGTGAGGAAGATGGGGTGCTTTGGAGCGAGGGAGAGAAATTGAGGGTGTGTTTCAACACAGATCCCCCAATTCTTTTGAGAGTGTATTCCTAGTCACAAGTTTTTAATTGTTTTACCTTTTGTGTTTGTTGTTACCTGAATGCTCTGTACCTTTTAACCAACATGAATAAAATCTATTACCTAATTGTGTTGTATCCGTTTGATGTCGAGTAGTTAGCCTTTTTGCACTCTGATCAATTTGTTGTTTTTTGTCCCTCACTTAAACAACCCGATCTTGTTGGCCGACAAAAACGATCGCCCAACTCATTTTTTGAGTTTCGAAAATCAACCTTTGCCACTCCACCGTACTGACCCCATTTTTTGACTGTCGGAGGGACCTGAGCAGCATTCAAACAGAATTAGTTAAACAATAATTTGTATTGCTTTGACTGAAGTAATACAATGGCAGCGACACTTCCTTTTACATATACATAAGATAATCATTTAAGGAAAAAAATTTCCTTAAATTGTCTCTACTCCAAGTTCGAGGAAGCTCCTTCCCGACATATGCTTTTAGCTTGTAAGCGCTCAATGAGATCCGCTGGTTGATTTCCTATGGGTTGTTGCAAGTCTGGTCCAGCTTGTTGATTGCTTGGCCCCGAGCATTTGAATCGACCTTCTTCAGAACCAAGTCTCCCAGAGAAAAAGTCTTTCTAGGACATGTCAGTTGAAATAGCGAGCGGTTTGTCTCCTGACTTCCTCTTGTCAAAGTGCAAAATTGGTTCAAGCCTCTTTTGCATGGTCGAGGGCTAACATTGCCCCCTCGATGTTAGCCTGCTGCCATTCGTCCAAATTGTCCCCTGAGAATGAAAATGTTGTAACGACCATTTAGCTATAGTGGTCGTATTCGATTCGTTGCAATGCTTCCATCACATGTGACAATACGGATGAGGTTTGTCTGATCAACGTCAAAGTGTCATTCAGATTGCCCATAGTACCGATGGCAATAGATCTGTTGAATTTCCTTTTACTCCTTCAACCTTCTTCCTTAATAGGTTTAGGATGAGTTTATTAGTCGCTTCGGTCTGCCCATTCGTGTGTGGGTGATGGACTGAAGAGAACTTCAAATTAATCCCTTGTTTGTTTAGAAGTCCTTCATATGTTATTTCGAGAACTATGTTTCATTATCGGTGATAATTACCGGCTGCAACTCATACCTGCAGATAAGATCTGTCTAAATAAGATTTTATAATGCCCTTGATCGATTCGGGTGAACATTTTTGCTTCGATCCATTTTAAAAAATAATCGACTGCCACCAACAAAAAACTTTTTGTTGACCCTTTAATGACAGGAAAGGACCGAGCATATCTAAACCCTATATGGTGAAAGGTCGGGGGCTAGAGATTGGCTGGAGCTTTTGAGCAAGCTGATGATGCAGGGGCGTGTATCTTTGACATTGCTCACATCTCCTAAAAAATTCTTTTGCATCTTTCAGATGGGTGGGCCAGAAGTACCCTTGTCGTTGCACCTAATAGGTTAACATTTTTTATCTAAAGCGACAACCGCACTCTCCTAAGTGCACATACTGGAGGACATACTGCACTTCATCTTCTCACAAGCACCTCAGATATACTTATGTAATCGATTACCTGAAGAGCTTTCCTTCGATCATCAAGTATAACATAGCCTTGATTTTAAAATGCCTTGGATCTTTAAAGACTTCTGATACTTTCCCAGCTTCTAGATAGAGGATGTACAGGTCCATCCAACTCTTTGTTCCTTCATATGAGATTTTCATCTCTTATGGTTCCTTGATTACATGTTGGGTAAGCCTCTGTGGGGTCCTACCCAGACTGATACGTTAGGATAGGATATCAGTGACATGATTCTCCTCTTTTCCCACATGCTTAATGCAGAAATTTTTTAATCTCCCAATCTCTTATTTCGCCTTACGGAGGAATTTGCCATCAACTCCTCCCCGGCCTTGAATTCTTCACTTATATGACTGACAACCAAAAAAGAGTCTGATTTCACAAGTATCTCCTGTGCGCTTATTTCATAGGACAGGCAAAGCCCAATGATCAATGCATCATACTCCGCCTGGTTATTTGTAACTTCAAACTCTACTGAATTTACTAGTAGACGTACTCCTCTGTGGGCAGCTCAGAGCCAGCCCCAGACTAGCGATCGCCTGTTTGGAGGCTCCGTCAACTTATAGGAGCCACATCCTGTCTTTGGGAAAATATTCTTCATTTGAATATCCTATCATGGAAAAAGCTGCCCGAAAGTCAGTAATCACCTAAGCTTTGATGGTCGTCCCGAGGTCGTACGTGATTAACTGAGCTCCACCTCCCACTTTAGCAGTCGACCTAAGTGCTTCAGCCTTGTGAGCACAAACTTTAAAGGATGATCTGTGATGACCCAAATTGGATGCAACTGAAAGTTCGGTCGTAGCCTGTGTGCAGAAATAATCAAAGCGAAGGTTTGTTTCTCCATAATCGGGTACCTAATTTCGGCTCCATAGAATATTCGATTCATGTAATATAATAGGAATTGCTTCCCCACATCTTCTTTAACTAGAACCAATCTTACAACTTCTCATTCTTTAAGGAAAAGTGATAGTTCTTCCGTTGAATTCAGGCTTTGGAGCAGTGGGGGTGATGCCATAGAATCCTTTAGACTTTTAAATGCTTCCTCGCATTCAGAAGTCCAATCAAAACGCTAATTTTTTCTAAGTGCCCTGAAGAGCGCTGCACATTTGTCACCCGATTTTGGGATGAAACGACTGGGTTCTGCGATTCAATGAGTCGATCTTTGTCTCTCTGGTCCTCTGAGAGGATGACATATCTAGGATTGCCTATACTTTTTTCTAGATTGGGCCTTAGTCCCTCGGGAGTCAGCAAGAAGCTAATGAACATGCCAGTCGACTCCCCGAAGGTGCATTTCCAAGGATTTAGTCTTATACCAAATTTTTTAAGAGTTTTGAAGGTTTCTATTAGTCTTCTATGTGTTGTTCAGTTGACTTACTTTTCACAAGGACACCATCCTCATAGAATTAAACTTTTCTCATTTTTTATTTGAAAGTATTACATCTATGAGGCATTGATAGATCGCCCCAGTATTCTTCAGCCCGAAGGGCATTACATTAAAATAAAAAAATTCCTTGCATGATAATGAAAGAGGCCTTCTCGGCATCGGCCATATGCATTCTTATCCAGTTGTAGCTGGAGAAGGCATCGAGGAAACTCATTACGGAGTACTTGACTGCGGTGTGCACCAAGGTGTCGATTCTTGGTAGCGGTTATGTGTATGCATTCTTATCCAGTTGTAGCTGGAGAAGGCATTGAGGAAACTCATTACGGAGTACTTGACCGCGGTGTGCACCAAGGTGTCGATTCTTGGTAGGGGTTATGTGTCATTTAGGCAAACGAAATTCAAATTGGTGAAGTCAACGCACATCCTCCATTTGTAGTTGAGCTTTCGAACCATTACTACATTTGAGAGCCAAGTCAGACATTGGACTTCCCGAATGTAGCTCGCCTCCTTCAAATTTTGGACTTTTGCTACTATTGGTTTGGTTGGTACTCGTGGTCGATTGAAGCTTTTGTTGTACTGATTGAGAAAATGGGTTGACGTTGAACTGATGACATGAAACGTCGATCGGGACTCCGTGCATCTCCACAGCTGTTTAGGCGAATACGTCTCGATGTTGGCGAAGGTTATCAATCAGCAAGTTCCTATGTCCTACATCAAAACTTTCATTAATTAGAGAAACATTACTAGGCTCTCCCTCATCGATGACAGGCACTCCAAGTACGACCTCGCTAATCTCAAGATCTCCTTCCCTCTATAGTTGAATGTCTAGCGATTCTCGATCGATTTTAGTGATTGCTCACATGTAACAATTCCTTGATTGCTCTAGGCTGCTTTGGATTGTGATTATCTCCCCGTCCCTAGTAAATTTCATGGCCACATGATATGTCATAACTATAACCCAATAGTTGTTCAACAGTAGCCGACCGAAGATGGTGTTCTACGTCGGAGAGGATTTCACTGTTTTGGGGAACTATTTTTCTTGCTCTCCCCACAAGAAGGCTAAGGCGTTTACCCCTAGAGCCTTCTTTTGCTTACTTGAGAATCTGAATAATGGACCGACTAGTGCCCTCAATCGGTTGGTCTTGAGCCCCATTTTATCGAACATCATTTTGAATAGAATGTTGACTGAATTATCGGTGTTGACAAGGATGCTCCCCACCTGGTAGTTGTTTATAAGCATCATGATAACAATCGCCTCGTTGTATGGGTTTCCCTTTGGGGGAGGAGATCTGCATCTGTGAAAATAATATGGGGGGTGAGTAGGAGTGTCATAGGTGACGGAACATACCTCTCTCGGTTAGAGTCTTATTAAGATAGACAGCCGGGGCAACCCTCCACCTCCATCGAAGATAGTTGTGATGATTCTAGCCAGGTGGATTTCACTCACCCGCACTGGTCCGTATGCGGGTTCCTCTGTCGGGGCCTTCCCCTGTCGTTGTGGTTGTATTCCAAACTCCAACTTTCCAACCCTGATGGCAACATTCCTCTATGTCGTGTCTGTGGTCTCGATGGTAGGAGCAATTTTTGTTTTGATTGTGTAATGTTGGTGTTGTCTTCCGTGGAGGGGCCTTCTTCAAATAGTCCTTATTTTGGATGGTCTAGAACAGTTCGGCCATTGACACGTTCAGGGGTGACTCTAGAACAGTTCGGCCATTGACACGTTCAGGGGTGTCAACTTGCATTTTTTTATATGCATGTGGTGTTCAGGGGTGACCACTCATAGTATTGAGTTGACTACTAGTCAGGATGTTTCGATCAACCCCTCGGCCCTCCCGAGATATAGAATTGTCAGTCTGCCGGCCTCCAGGAGCTCGATTTTCATTTGGCCTTTTTTCCTCATCCCGACCGGTGTTCGGACGTTCTCGGTTTCGATTCTGAGGGCTCCATGAGGTCCTCTTCGGCAGCAATGTCATTTGCTAATTCCAAGACCTTGCAAAGGTCCTTGGCTTGAGTAGGGTCAGGTCATACTTGAATTATTTGTTATGGATCCCTTGCTTCAGGCCGGTCAGAGCGGTGAGGGGCTCAAAGTTCTTTACCTCTAGCATTTCCTTTTAAAAACGGGCAATGTAAGCCCTTATGCTTTCATTCTCCTCTTTGGAAATGGGTGATGTAAGCTCTTAGGCTTCAGCTTCATTCTACCCTTACCTGATCTGAAGCAGGGCTATGATTTGTCCTCAATTTTTGCACATTAAAAAAGTGTGTCAGGAAGAACTTTCGAAATTCGAAGAAGGACAAGATGATCCCATCTAGTAGGTTGTTAAACCATCGGAGTGTGGCTTCTTTCAGCGTGGTCAGAAACATCTGACACTTCATGTCGTCATCGATTTGTATGACTTCTACCATTGAATCGAAAGAAGCTATGTGATCGGACGAGTCACTCTTCCCTTTATATGGAATGAAGTGAGGAATCCCGAGCTTCGTCAGGGGTATGCCTTCCAGGATTCATTGGGAGAAAGCGCTACCCATAGCTGATCGAGGAAATGTTCTTACCCTTTTCGCCCGATGTTGGATTGTCGACGTAGAGGAAACACTGTTTGTTGGTTGGGAACCCTCAGGTCCTTTAATTAGCTGGTTACTGGGCCAACCGTGAGGCGTTGGTGGATTGTCGAGGGAGCCTTCTAAGGGCTGGTTCCCCAAGACTCTCCCTGCGGGGGCGACGGTCGGGTGTTCTGCAGGGTCATGACTGCTCGAAGAGTCTCAAACTGGTTCATTATTTGTGCTCGCAATGCATGGACTTCTTTCTGTATGTCTCGACGCACTGTCTCTCTATTGAACTCCATGGGCATTATATCTCTCTGCAGGGATTCTCCTCCTTAGTTGACTCTGCTTCTCTTCTGAGGCATGCCAACGCTCACCGCACCAGCTTTTAGGATGGTTAATTCGGAATTATCCTTTAGAAATACATTCCTCGAGAGTTAGAACCGGGAGAATGAGAAGTGTAGAAAGGAAAAATGCTAGTGAATCATTAGTAGATAGATCAGGGAAAGAGTCCTCAGACCCGGGGTCCTTTGTTTATCGTTAAACCTCATATTTATAGGAGGTCTTCCTGTACAATTAAGGAAGGGAGAGAAAAATTATAGAAATTACAACTGTCAAAAAAGTTTGTTGTTCCCGAACAACTCGTTTTCGGCTCGTTCATTAAGTAAACGAGTCGAACACGAACAAGCTTTTAAAGCTCAAATTATAAACGAGCCGAACATGAACAATTATTTGTTCGGTTCTTATAAACGAGCCGAACATGAACAACTATTTGTTCGGTTCTGTTCGACTCATTTTAGCTCGAAATGAAAAAAGTTATATATAATTATTTATATAATAATATATTATATATGTTTATATCTAAATTTAATACATAACACCTTGTATGGTATCATGGTTAGTGGCTTCTTTTGCATACATTTGGTCCGGTTCGAATTCAACACTTTACATCTATTTTGAAAAAACCCAATTTCGAGTCGAACAAGAACACGAATATTTAAACTAACCCGAACACGAACACACTGTTCACAAAGCCAATTTCGAACTTGAGCCGATTTCGAACACAAGCAGTTTCGAACAAGTCGAACACGACCCAAGCCTGAGCTCGCTCAAGCTCGACTCGTTTACAACCCCAACAGAAATAGCCCTCAATGCAATCAATGTGTTGATTT